CCCCCAGCAGCACCCCCCAGCTCACCGCCCCGCGCCCGTCACCGCCCACCTGCTGCCCTCCTGGAAGAGGGCGAACTCCAAGGACGCGCGCTCCAGCACCGTGAGAGCAGTGACCCCCACGGGCCCGCTGGCAGAGCTGGGAAAGCAGCCCTGCACACGCGCCTCCTGCCAGTCCGAGTGCACCTTGCAGATGTCCACCGAGTCAAAGTACCTAGTGAGCGAGAGGGCAGCCGCACGGGGCAGCTTTCATCCCAGCTCAGGTACAGGCACTTCCTGTGCCCTCTCCAGTCCCTGTCCCAGGCCACCTTCGGCATCTCCTGGGACCAGTGTCTGGGAAGCCCTGGTCCCGGCTGTTGCCCATGGACACCACCAGGGGGCACCGGGTCCCAGGCCTGATCCGGGAGGGCTGAGCCGTGGTGGTCCAAGCCCCGCACGCCCACCCACCCTGTGCTGAGCTGGATTCGGAGAGGTACAAGCGGGCTCCCCAGGGCAGGACTCTGCACGCTGGGACAAGGGGAGGCAGCCAGGGCAAAGGTGGCCGGAGCATGGGGATGGCCACGGGGCAGACCCTCCACAGCCGCCGCCTGCAGTGTCCAGGTACCTGATGAAGTCGCTATACTCCATCCAGAAGACACCCTCGCTGCTGCCATGGGGCATGAGCTCGCTGCGCAGGTGCCCTGGCCAGTGCGGCCACTCATCTGACCAACTGCCATTCCAGGAGAAGCGGCCCCATGGGTTCCGGAGACGCAGGAGCCTGCGGACCACAGGGCTGAGGGCCACGGCCACGCCTGCCACTGCCCCCACCACACACCCACCCGGCCCCTACCTGGAGCCCTGGACGTCTCGGACATCCAGGATGGAGTAGGCGTGGCGGGGACGCAGGCCCAGGCTCTCGTAGGCAGCATCGTCCACCTTCATGTTGCCCCCCCCACAGGAGGCACCCATGAGGAACCTGTGTGGGCACAGCAGCCTCAGTGACCAGGAAGGCTCCCTGACTGGGGGCCCCTTAGTAACCAGGAGCCTCTGCTGGCCCTGCCCCCCAGCGGGTGGGGGGATGGGAGGTGGGGAGTGGGGGGGGGAGTGGAAGGTAGGGGGCCCCTCCCTGTCTGTGGGGACCCACGTGAGACACATGGGACTCAGGAAGTGCTGGCCCAGTCCCTCCACTGAGGTCCCGAAGCTCAGAGGCCTTGGGCTGGGTGGGGGTCAGGTGGGCCCCGTCCCTTGGAACCCTCCTGAGGCTGGCTGGCCCTGCCAGCTCAGGGCTGTGGCTCTCTGAGGGTGGCAACACTGCCCAGTACCAGCCGAAAGCACAAGGTCTTGCCACTAAGGAGCCATCTCTCCCAGGCTTAAGGTTCTGGGCCCCTCCCACAGACACACTGGCCCGTGTGTGCCAGGTCCTGGAAGGCAAACCCCACTCCCAGCAGGTGCCTCTGTGGGGCTCTCTCCATGTGGCTCCGAGCGGGCGCTGATGGTCATCACAGGCCCAGCTCCGGATGAGGCTCATCACAGGCTCCACCCGGGGTGGTAGGCATGGGGTGCAGGGACAGGCCAACGGGCAGCCGCCTCCTGCCTGCCCCCCCCCACCACCCGAGCAGGCGGGACCACCGGCCCGGCAAGGGGGATGCTGGCAACAGTGGGGACGCAGGGTGTGGGTCAGAGGGCACACGCCCTGCTCATCCCACCGTGCCAAGCCCCGGCCTGGCTGTCCCCTCATCTCGCCGCTCCTCCCAACGCCGCTGACCGCCACAGCGCCCGCCCCTCTTACCCAGCCTCCTTAGAACTCAGCATTTTGGCCCAGATGAGGTCAGTGTCAACGGGCTCCTCGCGGGGGTTAGTGGAGCTGACCTGCAGCGCCAGGCTCTCACAGGGAGCACCGGTGAGCGTGGCCAGGCCTTCGATGGCGCGCCCTGCCTGGAGGGCGAAGTAGGAGCCGTGCAGCTTGGCCAGCGCCTTCTCGATGAGGGCCACCCACAGCTGCTTCCGCTGGGCCTATGGGAAGGGCCGGAGTCGCGAGGCCTGAGGCTGGCCGGCACCCGGGTGCCCGCCCCGCGCCCGCCCCCCCAACCTGGGAGAAGAGGAGGAAGCCGGCCTCGTCACAGGGCAGCGTGTCGTCCACCAGCACTGTCGTCCACGTGCCGTCCTTGCAGAGCCGCACCTGGTAGGCGCCCTCGGCACATAGGCTGCGTGTCACCATCACCCGCTCCACCAGGTCGGGCCGCTCGGCCAGCACGGCCAGCGCGCTCAGGAACCTGCACGGAGCCGGGGCCAGACGGTGAGCACCACCACACGGCCCGCCGCACGGCCCCTCAGCGGGTGTCCAGCTCACCAGCAGTTTCCCAGCAGCCCCTGCAGGATGTCCGAGGGCCGGAGAGTGCGGAACACGGACCATGGGGCACTGGGGTCCCTGGACACGGAGCAGTTGATCTCGTGGGGCCTCAGCCACTGCCGCACACGCTGCTGGACGCTGTCACCCGCAGGGAAGCCCACCGACTCAGGCCCCGGGGGGAAGCTGTCATCCACGAAGTTCACGCTGTTCTGCAGGGGCCATGGCCTCACACTCAGGCTCCACCCAGCTGAGGCCAGACCCACCACCCAGGAGAACACCCAGAAAAGGCTCCACAAGAAAGAGGGTGGGGGTGGGCAGCCTCCTGGACCGATGTGGAAGGCTTGGCCCCGGCTCGAGTGAGCCACGCCACCCCACGTAGGCATGGGGGACCGCGGCCAACCAGGACACCGCACGCCTCTGGGACACACCGCAGCCCCCAGCCTGGGGGCCACTGGGGTGGTAGGCATGCCATGCAGGGAACCTGGTGGCTCCCCGTGCCGTGCTGAATGCCCCCGTAAGAGAAGTGGGGACTTGGCTGGGATGCGGCAGCCAGGACACAAGCCCCCAGAAAGCCCCTCCAACTGACTCTGGCAGTAATGCTGCCCTGGACTCAGGCCTCCCACACTTCCAAGGGCAGAAGAGGGTGAGGGACTGTCCCAATCGTGTTTCAGCAGGGTCTCCATGGCCAGAGGAAGCACCGCGCCCACCTACTGGCCTAAAGCCTCCACCTGCATCCCCACTTCCCTGTGGCTTCACCATCGATGGGAAATCACCCCCAAGAAGGGTCAGGAGCACAGACCATGGGGTCATGGACCCCCGTGGGTAAAGAGGAAGAAGGGGCAAGATGCAGGGGATAGGGACCAGGCCAGTGCTCAGAGCCTGGGGAAGCGGTTCCTCCCTCTCCCTGGCCAGAGAAGGGACACCAGGGAAGGACAGAAGGTGCGAATGCCTTGACTGGGGGATAGGGGAAGCACAAAGAGAAGAGGCCCACGGGAAGGGGAGAGCCAGCCCCGGAGCGTGGACACCGTCCTGAGGGCGCTCACCTCCCGGCAGAAGGCCACGATGTTTTCCCAGAGGGCCTTGGCCTCACCCTCGTCTGTCTGCCGCCGCTTCTCCACGTGCATGCTCTCCCTGCGCCTCAGGGGCGCGACGCCCCGGCGCTGGGCCACCAGGAGCTGGGGCGTGTGACAGGCAGCACAGTGCTTGGCCCGGGGTGCGTTGAGCAGAGTGCAGGCAGGGCAGGCCCACTGGCTCGGGCGCTCGGGCGGCACCCCGGGGAAGGGGCAGCTGGCCTTGTGGGCCGAGCAGGGACCAGACTTATCGGCGCTGCAGTCTTGGCAGCGGGCAGGGGGCTCACCATGCTCCTGGAAGCCATGCAGCTTGGAGCAGCCGCACGCCGTGCATCTGGGGGCCGCTGTGGGGTTCTTGAGCGTGCACTTGGCGCACGACCAGGTGGTGAAGTCAGGGCTGGAGGGGCTGGCTGGCTTGAAGCGCACTGTGTCCCCAGCCAGGTCGATGACATCGCTGCTCGGTGCAGCACCACAGGCCTCACAGCGGGCAGGGCTCGAGGGGCCGGGCGCGGGGCAGGAGCCGCACCGCTGCGGTGCCGGGCTGCCCTCGGTGGCCTCCTCCTCCAGCATGCTCAGCCGCTTGCTGGACAGCAGTTCTGCCAGGCGGGAGGCCCCGGATGCAGTCCGCCCTGGGCCCTGGGGGAGCCCCTTGGAGCCGGCAGAGGGTGAAGGCTGGGTAGCCTCAGGCACCAGTGGCTGCAGCTGGGGGGGGACCTCGCGGCGGCTACGAGGCACCGGGTTGTTCTGCAGGGTGGGCGAGAAGGGGCTGAAAGATGGTGCCCGGGGGGGCTCCTGGTCGGTGGCAGAGGGTGGGTCAGCTTCGGTGCCCTCCCCGGGCTGGGCTGGGGCAGGTATAACGTGGAAGCCAGCGGGGGCCACAACTTCGGGGACCACCAGGGCCTCAGGAGGGATTCTGGGCAGCGAGAGTTTCCGGGGGCCACCACAGGCCGAGCAGGAGTTGGCCACAGGTGTGTTGTGCAGCGTGCAGCGCTGGCAGGCCCAGCCGCTCCCGGGCTCTGCTGCCCGCCCTTCCTCCCCCTGCTCTGGCTCCGTGTCCTCCTCCTCCGCCTCCTCCTGGGGCCGCCCCCGAGCTGGCTCTGCGGACGCCAGCCCCGCTGTCTGCACAGGACCGGCTTCCTCCTTGCAGCTGGCCCTGGGCTCCGCCAGGATCCCGTTGATGACAGGCAGCATGGAGGCGCCAGGCACAGGCTCTGGGGCAAAGCCACACACCTCACAAGTCTCCTTGCCCAGGAAGTTCCGGAACGTGCAGCGGGCGCAGGGCCATTTCTGCTCCTCCACACTGAGCCTGAGGATGTGGTCGAGGTCAGGCTTGTGCCGGGGGGCCTCACAGATGGAGCACTGGCGCTGGCCGGCTGGGTTCAGGAAGGTGCAGCGTGCACAGGACCACTCCCCAACCGTGGCCATGGACCCAGGCGAGTGTGTGTGGCTGCAAGGGAAGGTCCCGATTAGTGCAGGCCCAAGGACAAGCGCCCACGTCTCCATCTGGGACAAGGGGCCACAGGATCTTTGCTTTCTCGCTCTGACAGACGTCAGGCCCAAGAGGGCAGCCTGTGAGGGGCTCGAGGACTCTGAGGAGTTAGGGGCCCCCAAGGGACCTCACAGATGTGTCATCAGACCCCTTCTGGAGGGGTGGACCTGTGGGGACAGAGACATGGGGCAGAGCCACACCATCCTAGTGGCCACGGGGCCCTGCTGGGGAGGCAGTCTTTGATCAGTTCCAGGAAAGAGTACAAGTGAACTTCCTCGACAGGGTAAAGGGCATCCTCAAAAACCCACAGCAAACATTACACCCAGCGGTGACACACTGCGTGCTTCCCTCCCAAGACCAGGAGCTCAGCACTGCCGGTCAGCACTGTACCAGCGTCCCAGCCAGAGCAATTAGGCAGGAAAAAGGGATAAAAGGCATCCAGTTGGGAAAGGAAGAAGTAAAGCTACCTCTGTTTGCAGACGGCATGATCCTACACATAGAAGTCCCAAAAAGCCACCAAAAAAACTACTAGAGCTAATAAATGAATCCAGGGACATCTTAGGGCATGAGACTGACACAAAACCATCAGCTGTGTTTCTACGCCAGCAACGAACAGCCCAACAGCCCAGAGAAGGTAAGTTAGAACAGTATCACTTCATCTAAAACAATGTAATACCTAGGGATACATTTTAAAAAGGAGAAGAACACTTGTACTCTGCACACTACATAACATGACTCAAAGAAATCACAGAAGACCTCAATGAACAGACAGACACCCTGTGCTCACAGAGTGAAGACTTAATACAGCTGAGATGACAGACACCCAAGTGACCTACAAATTCACAGGTGCAATGCAATCCCCATCAAAATCCCAATTCCCCCCCCCACCAGGAATGGAAAAACCGGATTCTGAAATTCATATCAAACTGCAAGGACCCTCCCACCCTCCTCCAAGTAGTCAAAACAATCTCAAAAGAGGGAAAATCAAGACAGGTGGTACCGGCACAAGGACAGACTGTAAGTCTGCCTATGGTCTGTGGCCAGTAGGACTGAACTGAAGAGCCCGGAAATACACCCTCACATATGGTCGTTTTATTTTTTATTTTTTTCTTTTAAGTAGGTTCCATGCCCAACATAGGGCTCGAACTCACAACTCCCAAGATTAAGATTCTCACACTCTACTGATTGAGCCAGCCAGGCACCTTTGGTCAAATCATTTTAGGCAATGGTGCCAAGACCACTCTGTGGGGAAAGGGCAGTCTCTTCAACAGATGGTGCTGGGAACGCAGGACCTAAAGCACTAAGGAATGAAGTTGGGCCCTTACCTCACACCGTATTCAAAAATTAACTCAGAATGGATCAGTAACCTAAATGTAGAAATGAAAACTATAAAACTCTTAGGAAAAAAACCTAAGTAAATTCTGTGACCTCAAGGGGCACCTGGCTGGGTCAGTCGGGGGAGCATGCAAGTCTTGATCTTGGGGTCTCGAGTTCAGGTCCCACTTTGGGTGTGGAAATTACTTGAAAATGAAATCTTTAAAAGAAAAATTCTGGGGTTGCCTGGGTGGCTCAGTTGGTGAAGCGTCTGCCTTCAACTCAGGTCATGGTCCCAGGGTCCTGGGATCAAGCCCCTCATTGGGCTCCCTGCTCAGCGGGAAGCCTGCTTGAGATTCTCTCCCCCCTGTGCCTCTGCCCACCCCCTGCTCGTGCGTGCTCTCTCTCTCAAACTAAAATCTTAAAAAAAATTTTCTGTGACCTTGAATTTGACAACGGATTATTAGATGTGACACTAAAAGCACAAGCAAATAAAGGAAAAAAACTAGACTTCATCAAAATGAGTAACTTCCATGCTTCAAAGGGCACAGATGAAAAAATGATAACTCATAAGAGAAAATATTTACAAATCATGTCCAATAAGAGTCTTGTACCCAGAAAATATAAAGAACTCTTATAACTGAACAACAACAAAAACCCTTGTAAAAAAAGGGGCAAAGGGCTGGAGCAATCATTTCTCCAAAGGACACACAAGTGGCCATGGAAGCACGTGGAAAAATGCTCAGCATCATCAGCCATCAGGAAAACGCAAACCAAACTCGAGAGATACCACTTCACACCCACTAAGGCTGGCCAGAATCCAAACTGCAGAGGACAGCAGGTACCACAAGGGCGTGGAGAAACGAGAGCCCTCCCCTGCACTGCCTCAGTGCCAATGGTCTGGCAGGCCCTCAGCAAGTTAAACAGAGTCACCATCTGACCCCGCAATTCCACTCCTGGGTACATACCCCAAAGTACTGAGAATTGGTACCCTAGCAAACACACACGCACTCAGAGCAGATCTACGCACAACAGTCAAGCAGTGGAAACAACTCAGATGTCCATCAGCGAATAAACAGACAAAGGAAATGTGGGTTGTTATTCAGCCACAAAAAATAATGGCATTCTGATACAGGCTACAACATGCCAAGTGAGAGAAGCCAGACACAAAACAGGAGTCCATTTACACAAAATCTTTACAACAGGAGATCCAGAGGCAGTGGGAAGCCCGGTGGTCCCCAGGGCCTGGGAAAAGCTTCATAAGGAACACAGGGTTATGTAGACACCTGGGGACGGGGTAGAGGTGATGGGCGCACAGTGTGAATGTGTGTCAGGCCCTCTGAAATTGTTACTTTATGTCATATGAATTTCATCTCAAAAAGAAAGAAAAAAAAGAAAAAGTGAGAGCTTGACGGGAGGGCCAGGGCATGAGTGGGTGGGGATCATCCCGACTCAGGGCTGCCAGTGGGTCCCCTAACACAGTTGCCTATCTGGTCTTTCTGGGGACCCCCGGGCCGGCATCTGACCACAAAAAGCAATCCAACGGTGCTTGAGGCCCACCCACCGGGCACATTCCTGCCAAGCCCAGGGCACAGGTGGGTCAAGGGAGGGACAGGCTGTACTGTGAGGGGTGGGCCCTCTCCACTCACCTGCCCACTGCCCACCCAGACCACTGCAGGCCCACCCTGCCTGGTCCCGCAGCAACACACAAACCCGTTCTCCCACAGCACGAGCCCGAGGTGTGCTTTGTACCCGGCAGCCCTGTGGGGCTGTAACAGGAAGCTGCCCAGCCCAGTGAGACGACTGGGGAGGTGGGGCAGGGGGGTGTCCAAGGTCAAAGAAGGTGGCAGAAAGGGTGGGACCCCCTCTGCTAGCAGCTGGTCCTGAGCAGCCTGTCCCAAAGTGCTGGCAATGTGCAGACCTGGGGGACCCTGAGCTCCTCCTAGGATGGGTGCTGCAGGGCGGAAACATGGGACTGTGCGTGCCCCACCCCGCCTGTCCCAGGTCAGATCTGTGCCTCAGCGGATGGGCCTGCAGAGATGGCCATGGGCCCCACATGCCAGGTGAGGCCACAGAGACATGGTCCCCCCAGGTGGCCAGCGAGCCCTGTGGGGGGTGCGTGTGTGTACATGTCTAGTGCAGGGGGTGCTCCTGACTCCTCCTGCCGGAGACGGGTCAATGTCTGGGGGTGGGGCTGGCCCCTTGACCCACTCCTCAAGGGCTAATCTGGGCACCAGGCGGTGTCTACACACCAGGACAGTCTCCTCTGCTGATGGTAGCTGCTCCGCCCAGCACAGAAATCAACTGTTCCTTACAAGGCATGAAGCCTATGCTTCTGATGCCGTGTTGATGCCAAACCCTTTTGGTTCAGGAAGAAATAAAACTTACCTCTTCAAAAAAAAAAAAAAAAATCAAAAAACCTCCCCGAGCAACAGGGTTATTTCCCAGGGCCCAGGGCCAACTCCATGAAGCCACCTTCCCAGCCTTCGTGGCTGAGGCTCATGAGCTCTCACAGCCTTGCCCAGACGGGCCACGGGGTGAGCAGGTGTGGTTGGGCCAGGCCGGGCTCAACACGGGCACTCGGCACCAGGGAGGAGGGCAGGTCAGCTTTGGCCTCGGCTTCTGCGCTACAGAGAGCCTAAGAAATCTTTCTGGGACCACCAGGCCCTCCCCACACCGCCCCCAACTCAGAGAAGGTCCCACAGACACACGTGCACACAAGCTGCTTCCATGCCAGTTCCAGGCTCAGGGGATGCTCGCTCACCCCGCACATCTCCCCTGGCTTAGTCGCAGGGGCCAGCAGAACTAGTCTGACACTTTGCAGACCATCCGCCCATGGGAGGGGTGTCCAGAGAAGAGGCCCAGGCCCCTGTGCCCCGTGCAGGAGAGCCCTCCTAGGACACCCTTGCCCTTGGCTCCAGGGCTCTGGAGGTCCCAGATGCACTGAGCAAGGACAGCCTGGGGAGGGAGGGGGCCCAACTCCTGTTTACCCTCTGAACCTGCCAGCTGGCTGGTCCATGGCCTGGGTGCAGCTGAACATGAGGCACGGTGTCCCCTGGTCCTGGCCAGCACCCAGGGACACTGGTGGGAGAGGGCACGTGTCACAGCCCTCATGGTGGATAAAGCACCTCAGGAAGATTCTGTCTGGGGTTCAGAAACCTTTAAATGGAAATAGTGCCTACAACTCAAATTTTACCCTGGGGACACAGAGGGCAAGTAGAGGCACCCATGGCTAGAATAAGGCTTCTGGGATGCGGCCGTGGCACAGGGGCTCCCAGGACGGGCGGCGGGGTGGTGCTGTGCTCCCTCTCTGACCCCTGCAGCCCACACCTCACTGTCATTGGGCAGCCTGAGAAGTGGCTCCAGGGTCAGTGACTGGGTGACTAGAGGAGCCTGAAACGGGCCCCTGACCTTCACCTCGCTTGGCTCACCTTCTCTGACTCCACAACCCTGGGGTCACCCCAACATGACGCAGGGCCTGGGCAGAAGCCGAGGGCTCAGGAGAGACTCAGAGAGGCCAGAGCACCCAAGCAGCCTGGGCAGAAGCAATGCCATAGGGAACCCAGAGCCAAGGTAGACTCCCGAGGAAAAGCACTTCCAAACCCCACAACATCACAGACTCCAGCACACAGACTGGGTCGCAGCTTGGGAGGAACCAGCTGCCATGGAAAGAAAGGCCAAGTCAACTGGAAAGTGAGGCAACTGTCCAGAAAACCCCAACACCAAATTCCCGCTGAGCCCTCTGTGATTTGGGAACTGTCAGCACTCTGCTCCAATTCAAAAGGGAGGCTATGGAGTTGCTGTCGGGGCACAGGGTCAAGTCTCCGTAGTACCCAGAACACACGTCTGCAGGAACATGGAAGCTACTGGTCACCACTGCAGGGTGCAACCCAGTCCTGGGGGGATGCCGCTCTTGCCCAGACAGTCGAGAGCAGTAAGTGGCGTCCACACCTAAGGACCTCGGGGAAGCCACCAGAAGTGGGCAGGCCATGCCAAAAGGTCTGGATGCCCTGATGGCTGTGGCGGCCTGACCTCTGACCCCTGTGGCTCTGAGGTGCGTCTGGGCGCTTTCCTCTGGGGCCACCCTCAGTCAGCCTTGAGTCATGCTCCCCATTTCTGTGTCCCCACGGGTCGCAGGCGGTGATGCCCACGTGCACTGCTTATGGCTCAGGGTGAGTAGCTCCAGGGCTTAGCAGTGGGTTACTGGGAACTACGCCCACACCTGGCTCCCCCAGCCTCATCAGTGCAAGGGGGTGGTTCCGGCCCAGCGAGTTGGACGTGGAGGGTCTTCCGTGAGCGGCGGGGGCTGCTGTGCCTGCTGGTTTCTTCGCAGTGCCTCCTGGTCCCCCGTGCCTGTCAGCGTGCCCATGCCCAGCTGCCCCTCCAGACGGTGGCACTGCACCCCACATGTGTCTGCGTGCGCCCATGCGTGGGGAGGGCCCGTCGGGCTGCCTGTGTGTGGCCACCAGCCTTTCTGCCCCTCACCCTGCCATCTGCCTCGTGCGCCGCCCCCCCCAAGTCTGGATGTCTGTGAACTCCTCAAGGTCGTTTGCAGCACCTCCTCCTGCTTCACCTGCTGCTCCCAGTGGCAGACACTGAGTGCCCCTGGGTCTGGCCGGCTGCCGGGGGCGCTGGGAAGGAGCCGCCGGCACCCCAGCTCGGGGGAGGAGCCTGGCAGGAGGCCAGGAGAATGAGAAAGTTCGACTTGGCTGGACAGCGTGCGCCAGGATCCCAAGTGAGACGCACGCGTGCCCCTCAGCATCCTCAGGCGCGGTGTGGAGGGAGCTGGCTGGCAAACCCCGCAGGGTCTATACCTGGCCTGCTGCTCCCTGGGGGCCAGCCCCCAGCCAGGCCCCAATAATTCTACTCCTAGCAATTTATCCTAAGGAAATAAATGGGCATTTGTAAAAAGCGTGTGGACAGATGAAGGCCTGGGAAGATGCAGACCAAGCCATGTGGGGACAGCGCTCCACACCCGCCAGGACGTCTGGAATCAAACAGGCAGATGGTCCCAAGTGTTGGCCAGGACGGGGAGGAACGGGAGCCCCCCATACCATGGTGAAATACGATACCATGGTGCAGCCGCTGTGGAAGGCAGCCTGGCAGTTTCTCAGAAAATCAGGCAGACTCCAGTAGCTGTCAGCAGGCGTACCCTGCTGTTTTCCCCACCCGAGGGAGAACGAGCCCGCACAAAATCTTGCACATGAATGCTCTCACAGCAGACCAGTTCATAAAAACCAAGAGGAAACAACCAAATGTCCGTTACCTGAGGGATGCACACAACAGGATGGGGTCCATCCCTACAACAGGGGATTTACTATTCGGCCATAAAAAGAACGAAGCTCTGGTGCCCGCCACCACGTGGATGGACCATGAGGGTATTACGCTTCGTGAAAAAGGCCAGGCACACGAGACACTATAGGATTCCACTCATAACATTTCCAGCAAAGGCACATCTATGGGCAGGAGGCAGGGTGGCTGCCTGGGGAAGGGTGGCGAACAGGCAGGGGCCCTGGGGCCCTGAGGCCCTGGGAGCCCTGGGGGACACGTGGGTGAGCAACTCCATAAAGACCAAGACCAAAGCCACGCAGCTGCACACTTATGAGGAGTGAATGAGAGCACTGAGTCCCATCGCAGTAGAGCTGTTTCAGAAAGGCACAGACGTCCACTAGTGCATCACCTGTACCACACCGAGGGCGCAGAAGGAACTCCCAACAACCTACATCGCTGGCTCTGGTCGCTCACTGGCCATCAGGCCCCCCGTGCTCCTGCTGTCCCCACGGGCCCTGCTAACTCCTCCAGCACCTCCCAGGAGCCTTATCTGCTGAGGGCTCAGGCCTCAGGTCCAATGCCATCCCAGAAGGGACACCCATCAGGACCATGCCTGCCATCCAGACACCAGGAACTGTCCCCAAGTGAGCTGTGTCCACAGGAAGTGACGCCAAGCGCAGCATGGCAGGTGCCTTCGACACAGCGAGAGCCCGTTACCGTGGCCTCCACCCGAGGCTGGAGGAACCGAGTGTCTGCGGAGCGGTGGGTGCTCCTGCCCAGTGAGGCCACGGGGCCGGCTAAAGGCAGGAGTGGGACGTCAGGGCCCAGCACCCCAGACCCGAGCAGTGGGCACGGACGGGGGCTGCCCCACACCAGGCATCCCAGAACTCCCGAGGGGAGGCTCTCCAGCTGATCCAATGGGCAGCTAGGCTGGGAAGCCCGGGTGGAGCCTGGCCACAGCCGCAGTTGGAGAAAGCCGACTCGTGAAGGTCTGCCAGCGCAGCAGCACCACGCACACAGAGGGGCTGGGGGCTGGTGCCCTCCCCTGCACCCCCACCCCAAGCACAAAGCTCCAGAGCAGCTTCGGCACAAGCAGCCGACTGAGTGCGCCATGCGCCCTGCAGGCAGGCCACAGCCCACACCACCTGGCTTTGTGGGGAGCGCTGCTGCCCCAGATTTTCTCCACCAGGACCAGAAGAACCCCAGAGCCTCTCAAGTCTTGGGCCCTTTGGGGAGAGCAACCTGCCAAGGATTCTTGGAAACAGGACCCCATCTCTGCAAGCACGGAAGGGGCCACCCGACAGAACAGCACTCCCGCCCCTCGGGCCACCCCCTCCCCACCTTCTTACCTTCGGGCCCGGGGACGCGGGGGCTGGTGCTGCCGGGTGACCAGGGCACCACCCCAGACAGGCCCCCCAGGGCCGCTCCTACACCAGCTGGCTGCTGCAGGGGGCCCGGGGTAAGGCGGTCCCCCGGGGAAGCCGTGGTCCGACTCGGTCTCGGTGGCCAGCGAGGAGGCGGAGCTCCCCATGGCCCCCGTGATGGCGGCCGCGCTGAGACCTGGGCCTGGTCACACGCGGCCCGCAGTGGGCGAGGTGGAGCATGGAGGGAGGACAGCGCCCACGCCGGAGACAGGGCGGCCGGGCTGGTCAATCACACAACAGAAATAAACACAGAGAGAGAATAAAGAGAAACAGGAGAAACAGCATGATTCACAGGAAAGAAGCCCCCAAAAGCCTGGGGGTGGGCTCCCCAGCGCACCAGTGGCCTCGGGGACCCAGGCCCCATAGCCGGGGGTCCCAGCAGGGCTGAGGTGCAGAGCTGCAGCTCCTAGCCCAAGGCCCACCCCACCACCAATGCCCTTGCTCTGCTCCTGAGATCCAACTCCAACCCCTCAACCGCCCAGAGGGGTTGGCCACGTGTCCACTTGCTGGTCTTCAAAGGGAGTCAGCCATACCCTTAGTGAGAAAGAAACCACACAATCATGCTTTATTGTAGGAAAAAGGACTGAGGGGCATGTGGCCAAAGGAAATGGAGAAACAAGCAAGTGTGTGCAGCAGAGCCGGGACAGCCTTGCAGGATGGCCTTTGGGAGGAGGGCGCCAAGTGCCCACGCGGCCCGGCAGAGACCCCACGGTGCTCTGAGGCAGGCAGAGTCGCTACCACATCCCTCTAGAGCCTTCTGGAGGGATAGCCTCCCCAGGCCAGACAGACTCCAGGGCCCAAGAAGAGATGGGTGACTCAGGAATGACCGGGGAGGCGGGCCAGGACTCTGGCAGGAATGGCCTGCACTCCAGGGAGACCGTCTGACCCCCGACGGGTTGAGCAGGCCTCTTGGCTCGATCCAGATGAGGCAAGTCCCAGTCAGGCTCGGGGCAAAGGAGGACTGGCAGCCTGCTCGGCTATGGAGGCCAGCGGGGGCCAAGTGACACGGAAGAGGAGGCCAGGGTCGGGAGAAGTCTGGGCCCCCAGCCCCGTATGAGCACCGACCAGATCAGCTGAGTCCTCTGTGTAGCAAGAGAATCCGCTCAGATGGCCTTTACTCAGAGGACTGGGGACATGCGTGAGACGGAGCAGCCCTGCCCTGACTGGCCTGTTGGCCTCACAGGTCTCCTGCCCCTCAGGCCTCCCCATGGGCACCACCAGAGCCGAGTGGAGGAGGCGGGGGCCCTGTGGCCTGCAAAGCCGACACCATCCCTTCCGCACCTGTGAGGAATGTCTGTCGGTGCTGGCCCACAGACCCGACCGTCGTCTAGCAGCTATGTGAAGAAGGGAAGACTGACAGATAAAAGGAATCTGGAAGATGCATCTTCTGTAACCCAACACATCCAACGTATCTCCGTGTCAGCATGAAACTTAGCTACAACCATGTGTGAGCTGCACGACACTCTGTTCTCAGTTGAGATCTCTGGACTCCACCGTGGTCACGCCCCTCTCCTTGTGGGTGAGCCACGTTCGAGGCAGCAGCTGCGCGTGCCGGTGGCTTCCACACTGGGCATGCTCACCAGTGGTCAGTGCCTCCCCAGCCAGGGTCACTGCAGACACCTGCCTCTCCCATGGCTCTAGGTCAGACCCCAACAGCCCCTGGGACGCCTGGGCTCCAGTCCACGCAGAAGCCCCTCCTAGGAAGACCCGGAGCATTTCTGATGCTCCTTTCATAGCCAAATCCTGGGCAGAGGAGGCCTGAGGTGGAACCAGGCCCACTGGAGGTGCCATGGGACGGAACTGCTCGCACTTGGCTCCAGGGCTGGCATGGTCGTGACAGAGAGCTCTGCCTGTGTCCCCTGGGAAGGCAGAGGGCGAGGTGGGAGGCAGACAGTGTCAGCACCACGTCCATCTGATGCAGGCAGAGCCGAGGGGAAACAGCCCTGAGGCTTAGTGAGGGTGTGGCCCCAGGCTTCCCAGGCATCCTGCCCAGGTCGGGCGTGCTGCCTGAAGCACATCAAGGACCCACCTGGTCCTCACGAATGCCCTAACCTGGTCTTCAGCGGTGGGGCAGGGAGTGCTCAGGGAGCGTGCTGGCCCCCCCATTTCCACCTGCGGCAGAGCATGTGGCCCCTGAGCCCGGCAGCAGCCGTACCCTGTGCCCCAGCTTCCTGACGTATCTTCAGGGAACTCTGACCCTGCAGGCCCCGTCTGGGGTAGGTGGGAGGCCTGTCCAGGGGTAGGCTGCATGGTGGTAGCCCAGCCCCTCCTGGGAGGGCAGAGGCAGCACAGATTCCTGTCCCTGTGGGCTGAAAGGGCAAATGCTCCCCAGAGAGCAGCCAACTCAGGAGGGCCTGTTTGGGGATGACAGCACCCCAACATCTGGGTGTGGTGAGAGGACCTGGGAATAAGACCCCATGAAGGAGTATGCTGGCTGAGCAGGGCTTCCCAGGGGCCACCAGCCCCGTACTACCCTGCGAGTCCCACCTGCACAGGGTGATGTGCGGGAAACTGTGCTGGGCAGGCTGGCCAGTCCCTGGCTCTCACCCTGGCTCCACATCAGAATAACTGGGCACGGGGACGCTCACACACCCTGTTCCCCAGGCCTTGCAACTTGAGACAAAGCTACGTGAGGGCCTCCTACAGGGCAGAGCAAACCCGATCCCCGGTGACAAGCATCACACGGCCCTCTTCTCCGGCAGGGCCTGCTGGGTGGACAAAGCCTCCCGTGCTGCCTGCCTCCCCCAGGTGGGAGCATGGGACGTGGGCCAGCCCCGCAGGTGCCAGGGGTGCACCATCCACTTCTCTGTGCATCTCTGCTCATTTAGCAAACACCCATCAGGCCTCCACTGTGTGCCAGGCCCCCAACAACGCTTGAACCCTGCCCACGCAGGGCGCACTTTCTGGCTGCTATGCCTTAAGAGAATGTGTCTCTGGGCAGAAGCCAGAGTGCACACCGTGCTGACGCCAGCCTCCTGCATCATGCAAAGGGGCGGGGGCTCTGCAACATGGCGCCGCAGGGCAAAGCGCCTGTCTGCAGCCCGACGAGCCACACGGCTCTTCCTTGCCCTCATTTGGGAGCCGCTGCCCTAGATTTAAACAGGGCAGTGGCACAGATCTGGTCTCAGGGAACCACGGAGGTGGGGCTGCAGTCCCACCCCCCGAAGGGGTTAACCCTCAGGGGCTGACTGGCCTGTCCCCCAGCCTGGACTGAGGCAGGTGCCTGGCATGGCACTCCAAGAGGGCAGCAGGGACGATCCACGCAGAGTGAGGAGCACACGAAGGGCCAGGATGGCCCCTCTTTAAGACACCATGTGGGGAGCACCTGGGTTGGTCACGGCAGGCACCCCACCACCCCTCCCCCAGCCCACCTGCCCTTCCCAGCCCCTGCGGGCCCCCTGAGGGGGTGGGGAGTAGGGGTGGGGTGCTGAGGTGCAAGGATGCAGCCAAGTTGTTTCTGCCAAGTGAGAATTTACCTGGGCAAGTAAAGGCCAGGGAGGGGAACACCATGTAGGCCACACCCCAGGTCCCGATGAAGGATATTTATGGCCCACTCTGTCCCATGCCTGGGGGGCAAAAAGAGTCGGTCCCACACTCCTGGGGCCCGAGCCCCGTGTAACAGTGGTCTGGCTCCGCACAGATGTACGCTGCTTGATGACACCTCTTCCCGTGTGCACACGCCCTGCCCAGCTCCCCCACAAACACATCCGCACTGTGCACACTCCCCATGCCGTGCTAATTCAGCCCGGGTGGTGGCGAACTTCGTGTCCCAACTCCACAACACCCCTGCCTGGGGCCCAGGGCATGCGTCTTCTTAAATCTCATCAGCGTGCATCTCCCCATCTGACAATAATGGTGCCTTCACGAACTGCAGGAATCCTGACAGGTTGCCTAGAGTCAGCCCCAGGACAGGGGCACAGGGGCGGGACGGAGGACAGTGGTCTGCTGGGAGGGCACTCTGTGCCTGAAGGGCCACCCTGCCGAAGCCCAGAATCGCACCCACCAGACACGAGGCCCATTGCTCGGCACTCTCCCCCGTAGCCTGAGGACAGGAGGCTCCAGCCTGAGTGAAGTCATGCCCGACCCCCCTGGGGAGGTCCAGACCTCGACCTCCCTGCCCCCCAGGACTGGCAGGACAGCATCCTCCCTCAGGGTGCAGGATCAGGGATGGGCCATCAGATATGTGGAGGTTCCTTTGGGGAAGAAACACCAAAGGTGTGGCAGACATGGCCTGGCGAGACACAGCTGCTTTGCAGCTCGCCCTGCAAAGACGGGACCATGGTCTCACACCTCAGACTCAAGGTGGCCCGAGGGAACCAGACATTGTCAGGGCAGGGGTTCTAAAGAGAGGCCAGGGAACTGTCGCGGGGAGAGGGACTGCCCACACTGCACTCACGCCCTGCCACTCTGCGAACAACCTGCAGCCCAGACGTACCCACAACACTCGGGAAAGGGCTCTCCTGGCACAGCAGACGCCAGACCCTCCCCACGCAGAAGGAAGACTCAGTGACAGCAGGCTTGCCAATAGCACCAGCCACCTGGAGGGCACTCCCTTTCCTAGAAGGTTCTGGACTCTGGCCCTGGGCCTGCAGACCCACCCCCAGGCTTATCAGCATGAGCCAGAGTCCACTGGAGTGTGTGCCAACCAGGCACCGGTCCAGGTTCTGCCTCCCACCTCCAGACATGGAACGACCCTCGGTCTCCTTGGGCGTGCTCCCTTGGTTGGTGGCCGAGGGACTGTGTCCCTTTAGAAGCTGTATCTGTCCCTTACCCAGAGGAGGCTGGAGGCTCCAGAGGAGCCGCGTTGCTCAGCCAGCTCTGCACTGCCTAGTTCAAAACCCCTGACCTCCATGGGCTGGCCAGAGTGGCAGATGGGTCTGTTCAAGATCCTGGGGCCCCAGGGGACAGGGCCTCCCTCAGCCTGGCTCTGCCCACAGTGGGGGTTGCCAGGGAAAGGTACCCAAGTGGGCAGGGTTCCAGGCAAGCAGCCAGGCAGCTATTGAGATCCACATGGACTCAGATCCCAGAATCACCGGCCACTCTACCCACCAACGGGGCAACCACCGCCCCAAGTCCAGCAGCTTTGCTCTCCGTAGCACATGAGGACCCTGGTGGGGAGGGGCACGCGCACTCCCCTCTGGTCCTTCAGGCCAGAACAAGGGCCCAGGCTCCACCCTGCTGTGGCCTCCTCCCCTGGCTCACTGTTGCCCTCAGGCAAACAGTGAGGCCAGCCACCCCTACCTGCTGGCCCCAAGAAGCGACATCACCACCCTGCTGACCTCGGAGAGCCAGGTCTAGGGACTAAAGCCGTGGGCTCTGAGAGGGTAACCAGCACTTCCTGAGCAAACCTGAAAGGAATTGTGCTGTCCCAATCCCTTGCCCTCCTGACCAGGACCTGCTGCCTAAGCACACTACAGGGTGGTGGTCACTCTTGGCATTTCTGGACTCTTCCATGTCTGTCAGGTACTGCATTCCCCACAGGTTCCGGGCTGCCAGGACCAGAACAGCAGTCGAGGCTCCTCGCTGTGCAGCTTACCCCCTGCCCCTGGCTTCCTGGGCACATCGGGGCACCACGGTGGGAAGGGAGCAGACGGGCCTCTCAAACCAGACGCACACTCATGCATGGGGGGCCAGCGCTGCCCACACAGAGGGAACAGGGTCGCTGCACATCCTTTTGTGTCTGTGGGGTCATATGCCACCTCAGTTGTGCATCACAAAAAAGGAAATTACATTTTCCAAAACAGCGTTTTCAGGGCAACAGGGACATTCTTAGGATTTCAGTTTCCTAGTTCACGAGTTCGATACCGTTTAACATCAGATAATATTTTCTACAGAGAAAGAAACAGCACCAGATGTGCATTCTCACTTTAGGTACTTCTGTGTTTCTGTTTGCCAGGTGGCAGCCTGGTGACCTCTGGCCTCACTGGCAGCCCAGATTTCAGGGCGTCATGGGGGCATCTGAGCCTTCAGCTCACCCCAAGGGAGGAAGACGGGCAGTCGGGGAGCCGAGGAGCCGTGTGGTCCGGGCCCCATGAGCTCGGGCCTCTCTGCAGCCACCTTTCCAGAACGGCAGGCTCTAGAACATGCCCCCTCTCCTATTAAACAGAGGGAGGGAATACCAGGTTAGGGCAGAAGGTCCTGGGATTCAAGGTGAATGTAATTCCAAAGGGCAACTTTTATGAGAAGCGTAGATGTTGAGGGGACAGAGTGCAAGAAGGAACTCGCGCTGCTTCAGGTCTGGGCGGTGACGGCATGGGAGGGGCAGGAAGGGGCAGCCAAGGCCTCCTGTGCACACAGGCACGCGTGACACCACCAGGCAGTAGTGATCCACCTGCTTTCCTCCTGATTCTCTTGCAGCACCGTCCAGGCACATGCCCCAGCCTGGCCACCAGGCAGGTGGGGACAAAGCGCCCCCAATCGTGGGGAGAAGCAAGAGTGAGCCGGCGTGGAGCAGCTGCTGAGAGTGATGGGGCGCACCAGCACAGAGGCGCTGAGGCCGCTACACGCATGCGTTCCCCTCAGTCTCCTGCGAATCCACGCCTGGTGCCCAGACAAGTCCTTGCAGGGGGACTGAGTCGCTGACTTCCCCACCAGCCCCTCCTGGGGTGTCTGTGTTGGGCCAGGACCCCCCTCCGTCCTCCCATAGCCCCCATTCCCCTGCACCTGGCCGTCCCTGTCCTGGTGACACTAATACGGCTGTCTGCAGAACCCTTTCTCAGACCGTTCCCTGGGCTGCTGCCAGGACCCACAGAATGACAGGGTATGGCTGGGCAGGTCTCCAAGCTTAAGAGGTGGAGGCAGCCCAGCCTCACCCCACAGCCTCCCTCCAGCTCATTCAAAGAGGGTGGAAGCCAGCAAGTCCACTCCTCATCCCTGCAAGGCTGCAAGGTGCCATTCTGGACTGCCCTGGGATGATGGGGCTGCCTGCCAGCAAGGAGCTGACAGAGGACGTTCACTGACCACCTCCTCGGGGTGGCTGGGCTGATGCTGAGCAGCACAGAAGCCAGGGACCAGGTCCAAGGGACAGGGTCAGAGCTTGGCACAGGTCTCCTGGTCGTTCTCAGCAAAGCAGGAAGGGAGGTGGGGCGTCCTGGGTCCACGCCGAGGAGCTCAGCACAGGAGATTAGGGAACAGACACGCTCACAATTCTGCTCTGGGATACTTCTGGGATACTGGTGCTGAGTAATGGGGTACGGGGTGCAACCAGAGGGACAGAGCAGCGAGGCGGTGCCAGGAGCAGTCCAGGTGCGGGGGGAGAACAGGAGCAGGTCTGACCCCAGAGCTCGTTCCACACACCCAGGGCCTGAGAGTGTCCTTGCTTGGGGTCTGGGCCCAGGCTTTTAGTCTGATGAAGAAACCCCCAAAGCCACCCAGTGCGTGTCCCCACGCCGACCTGGGCCTCACACTGCAGCCTCACAGTCTGGCACAGAGCGGCAGGATGCTCGTGGATGCGTGTGACCAGTCACCAGTGCTTCCTGGTTTCTGTAGCCATGTTCTTCAAAGAGCCTAGACCGTACCCATTTAACCATGCCCCCTGCGTTTCCAGCACCGTCTGTGCCTGAGCTGGCGAGTGCAGGTGGCACGCTGAGGGGGGCCCGGGGCTGCTCTGTGCCCAGACTGCAAGACTGTGGGTGGCTACCCCCTTGGGCTCTTCACCCACCGTGGGCCCATGAAAGATAGCTGCAGTTTTCCAGGGATTTTTAGGCCGGAGAATGCTTCTTTCCAATTGCCACACATATATAAGACCCATACAGGAGGCGGTGCAATGAGAAGGCGGTAAAAAGGCAGCCTCGTGCATCAGGTCAGAGACCTGCATGTGCAGCCCCCTGTGCCCCTTGGCCTCCGTCTACTTGTCTGAAAGCAGGGTTCCCCCCGGTGCTAGCCACGACAGAGGCCCGGAGAGCTGGACACAGGCCATGAGTGCAAGGAGCTTCGGCCAATGTTACCACTGTCAAGCCAGCCATCACCTCTCTGGTGCAGGGCAGAGCACTCAGGACCCGGCCACTGCCTGCTCTCAGAGCCCATGGCCTAGCAGTGCGGTCCCTGAGCCCTGGGCCCAGCGGGGCTTACACTGGCTCTCAGGAAGTCACGAGGTCACCAGCCAGGTGGCTCGGGAGCAGCTCCAGAGATGTGAGATGCAGAAGGGAAGGGGAGAGAAGTGCCCCTTCTGGGAGCTAAATGATCTGAGAGGAAGTAAGAAGCACCCAACCCAAGGCCAGGCTTCCTGCAAGCTGAGTCCGCAGCTCCCCTGCCTGTCTGGGGCCCTCCTTCTTTGAGTTCTCTCTCTCTCTTTTCACATCGGAGTCACTCGGGAGTGGAGGGATGGAATTACCCCCACTCCTCCCCTAGCCCCATCTCTGGGGACGGAGGGGATTCTGGACATGACCTGTGACTCACGCTGCCCTGCATGCCTGGCCCCAGTGCAGGCCCCACTGGGCACCCAGCTTGCTTCTCCGCAGGACCCCAAACTCCCAGGCCTGGTCTCGCAGGGGTCCTGCTGCCTGCTGTCTGCTCACAAACTCCCGCGCAGTAAGGGGCCGCCCCGAGAGCCACCCAGTCAGGGACACTTGAGCCCACAACGGTCCCCTGGTCAGGACGAGAAGGGGAGGCTAGCAGGAAGAGCCAGGGGCTGCCCAGCAGCCTGGCCACCATTCTCAGGGGCCCCCCTGTAACTCCGCCGCCACCGCAGAGCCAAACCAGAGGAACAGGGAAGAGGAAGTGTGGGGCGGCCGGTGGGCGCCGCCCCCGGGAAGTGCCCGCGGTCCCTCTGTGGGGAGGAATGAGGGGGCAGCGGGGGACAGCGGGAGGCAGCGGGGGGGCACGTCCCGGAACGCTGGCGGGATCAGAACGTGCCTGGACCGTAAGGGCACTCAAGGGCAGGCAGGGGCTGGGGCCGCCTCCGGTGTCCGCTGCACCCCGGGGCTGGTCTCCCAGTGACCCACATGACCCGGGTCCGCGCCCGCTCCCCTCTCAGCGGCGCCTCAGCCCAGCCCGGGCTGCGGCCAAAGCTTGGGGGGCGCCGGTGCGGTGGGGGTGGGGGGCAGCCCCCGGGCCGGTTGGA